TTGTGGTCGCACAATGGCTGCACTCATTGACCCGACAACACTACAATGTTTTAACGTGTTTTATATTCGTAGCCATAAGCTATCTTTAATTATTTTAAAGCTCATGTCCATAATACCGACGTGTTGACTGGTCTTGGCGTTTCGACTCATTTAATACCGCATGCGGCTTGGACCACGAACGTTTGGCGTGACAAGCACTAGCTTATTGTGGGTTGAATTATCGATACTATTGAGTCTAACTTTAATCGCCCTCGCCTTCGGCACCGTGAACATCATACACACCAACGCCAAAACTGAACGTAAGGCTCGCGACGAGCAATAAGATCGCGTGAATCAGCGTCTAGGCAGTGGACCTCTACTAGTTTGACATTCGTACGCGTCCCTAGTAGCGTGACCACGAGAATCACGATGTCCGCGGTAAAATCAACAACCTCTAATCCCTGCAACCCATAATGGCGTGGTCGTCGTCCTGGGCGTCAACGCGTTTCGGCATCGCGGCTATCACAACCAAGGCTGTTAAGAGGGGAACGACGCTCATGTCAAGCGGTGCGTTTGTAGGCATTGACATGCCTACAAATACCAAGCTCACTGCGGGCTTTGACTCTCTTATGCACCACGAAGCACTCGCGTGTGGTCAGTGCTCGGTCACTACCGGCTTGTTTGGCAGACAAACGAACCGACAGTGACCACATTATGGCGGTTTCGCTGCTGGAGGTAAACAGGACCCCGATAATCGCTCTTCAGCACCGCGAGTACAGGTTATTGATTCATAACACGATATTATTACTTTACTTTTAGAATCCGTATAATTTCTGAAACTGCACAGACGACGTAAGGTTGGGTACGACTACATACGAGTACTGGCAGCTTTGACTAAATTCGAATGCTATACCCCAACAATTGGCACCATATTAGCCATGGTGACAGCACCAAACATGAAAGTGTATGGATTGGCAGTGGTATAGAATGGTAGCGTCCTTTGGAAAGCACGAGTCGAATTTCAAGGGTTACGCGTTAGTTATCGGTGAACCGCATCAAACTTGGCTAGACGGTGGTGCTCCAACTCTACGCCTCGTGAGTACTAGCACGAAAGATGAGGTTTTGCATTGATTGAGATTGACTCTTGGACCGTCCGGACTCGATGATGCAACATGCGCCGTGTGCGACTGCGGTAAGCTGCGTCAAGACTATGATTTCAATTGGCGACGATCGAGACCGCATAGAGCGGATGCAACTACTGCTGTCCAGCACCGACGAGCACTTGCCAGCACAACTGACAGACGAGTACGACTGCTCGGATCTGTTCGCTTGTTTAGGTGGAATGCTGCTGTCAAAACGAGGTGTTCATCCAGCTGGCTACATTCAAGTGTGTAAAGAATGCAATGTCAGTTTGGTGAAGCAGTTGGTGCCAAAATTT